GATTGGAATTGAGTTCGAACCTAAGACCTTTCTTATTGAAATCAATGAGTAAGTTAACGGTGAACTAACAAAAATTAAAGGAAAAGATAATATTTAACGGAAAAGTTAACGGATAATCATATTCATTAAGGATAAATTAGTAAATCTCAAGAAAAAATTAAAATCTGATCAATCTGAGCCATTCATTTGATTAAAAAATTTGACCGCCATTTTTTCTACCCATTATAGGCCTAACTCTCTTGGGCTCTTTTATATATATATATATATATATATATATATATATATATATATATATATATATATATATATATATATATATATATATATATATATATATATATATATATATATATATATATATATATATATATATACTAGTTTTTTACGCGCATTGCGCGATTGAGATAATGCCCAATGCTTTTTTTTTTAAAATAAGTACTTTAAAGTATATTAAGGCAAGATTATATTGAAATTGTTCATGCATAGATAATTGAAGGTTGAATTTGCATATTTAAATAGGTAATTCTTCTCCCAAAGGTTGAGTCCCCAACCCCAAGGGCCCCCCACACTCCGACCCGACAGAGCATTGTGGGAAGTTATAAATCACGGTGACTCAATGTTTCAGCAGATAGGGCCAAATGCTGGTATGCACAAGGAATTTGCCTACTTTGGACATAATTCACGCATTGCCGCCGCCGAGGTTCAAACATTGGTCTCTTCTCCCAAATACTACCCACTAAACCATTGAGCTAAGCCCGTGGAGGTTAAATAGGTAATTCTAAGTTTACAAATGCAAGATAATATAGTCAATATTGATTATAATTGTCAATAAAATAATTGTATAGGTATGGTTGAAACCAAATACGGGACATAAGGGAGAACAAATAAAAATTAGGGCATAAAATATGAAATATATACTAATATTGTTTGAGGAGATTCCGACATTAGAATTTTTGGTTAAGTTTTATTAAGACTTTAAGAGTTAATACCTAAAATCGTCCTCGACTATAGTGGTTTTTCTCAATTTCGTCCTAAACGACTTTGGTGACCTAATATCGTCCCACACTTTTGTGTTTTGCTTAATTTAGTCCTCCATTTGTTATTCCGTCAAATTGGTGTTAAATAAAGGGACAATTCAGTAATGTCAATATTGATCTCTCTTTACTTTCAACCTGTAAAGTGGAAAATTCCTCTTTCTTGTACGAATTACACCCAGAATTACTCCCGGACCTGCGAATCAAATTTTATATTCGCAGTTTTAGGAGTAATTCTGGGAGTAATTCGTAAAAAAAAAAAAAAAGGCATTTCGCAGTTCACATGTCTATGAGTAAAGAGATGCCAATATTAAAATTACTGAATTGTCTATTTATTTAACACCAAATGGACAGAATAACAAATGAGGGACTAAATTAAGCAAAAACACAAAAGTCTGGGACTAAATTGAGCGAAACACAAAAGTGTGGGACGATATTAGGTCACCAAAGTCGTTTAGGACGAAATTGAGAAAAACCACTATAGTCGAGGACGATTTTGGGTATTAACTCAAGACTTTAATATTAGAATTAGATTAATGGTGTAGTTATAATTCTATATTAGACTTTAATATTAGAATTAGACTAATGGTGAATTAACGGAAAAGTTAAATGGATAATCATATAATTAAGGATAAATTAGAAAATCTTAAAAGAAAAAAATTAAAACCTGAACAATATGAACCATTCATTTGATTTAATAATTTGGCGGTCATTTTTTCTACCCAATGTTAATAATTAAATAAATTCGTTGGTCAAATCCGCTTGTATAATCCGCTAACTGCTGATTGTCAAACAAGGACATTGCGAGGTAATTCTCACTTCAATTTGTTGTGTGATTTGAATACTCTCTTTGTCACAAAATCTCTCAAGTAGTTAATATGGTTGGCTTTATTAATTATATATTTTTTTTTAATTTTTTCATGGTATTAATAAAATACTTGGTAAATAAATATATAGCATTATTTTATGTTATAACTTTGATATTTAATTAGAAAAATAGTGCACAAAAATGATAATAGATAATGTAATGAATATAATCAATTGATGAATTTGAATGTAAAAATTTTTACATTTGAGAAAAAATAAAGACAATATAACTAATGAAAATATTTCTTTTAATTAATTTATTGATAATTAATAATTTGTTTTTCACTGAATAAATACATTGTAAGGACAATGTAGCGAATATAATCAATTAATAAATTTGAATATAAAGAATTTTTATATTGAAGAAAAATAAAGACAATATAACTAATAAAATTATTTATCTTATTTAATTTATTGATAATGAATAATGTTTTTTTTTGAATAAAGACATTGTGAACACATAATTCTAAATTAAAGAAATGCATATGTATTATTTTTCGTTGTAACTACTAAATTATTATTTATATAATTTAATAAGAGTAAAATAGAGTACTAATTATGCCAACTTTGATTGGGATGAGGATCGAACCTAAGACCTTTTTTTTATATTGAAATCAATGAGTAAGTTAACGGTGAACTAACGGTAATTCTTAAAATTTTAACGGAATTAGTAACGATGTGTGGGTATTTTAGGAAATTTTAATGTAAAATTTAAATCTGATCAATCTTTTAATCAATCTGAGCCATTCATTTGATTAAAATCTGTGACCGCCATTTTTTCTACCCATTATAGGCCTAACTCTCTTGGGCTCTTATTAGTATAGTAGATATATATATATATATATATATATATATATATATATATATATATATATATATATATATATATATATATATATATATATATATATATATATATATATATATAGTAGATAGTAGATTTTTGAATAAAGACATTGTAGACACATAATTCTAAATTAAAGAAATGCATATGTATTATTTTTTGTTGTAGCTACTAAATTATTATTTTAATTTAATAAGAGTAAAATAGAGTACTAATTATGCTAAATTTGATTGGAATTGAGTTCGAACCTAAGACCTTTCTTATTGAAATCAATGAGTAAGTTAACCGTGAACTAACAAAAATTAACGGAAAAGATAATATTTAACAGAAAAGTTAACGGATAATCATATTCATTAAGGATAAATTAGTAAATCCCAAGGAAAAATTAAAATCTGATCAATCTGAGCCATTCATTTGATTAAAAAATTTGACCGCCATTTTTTCTACCCATTATAGGCCTAACTCTCTTGGGCTCTTATTAGTATATATATATATATATATATATATATATATATATATATATATATATATATATATTTATATGGGAAGTAATATTCTAGTGGTCAAATCCTTACTGTTGATTTGATTAGATTTAATGGTCATGATTTAATTTTGTGTATATTTAATTTGACAATTTTTTAAGTAGTTGACAGTTTTAAATCAATCAAATCTCAGAAATCTCTCCTTTAAACTAGACAAATCTTCGCCATAAAAATAAAAATTTGAATGATCTGGATTAAACCACACGACGACACCTAAAAACTTGTTCTCATGAGAAGGGGGACATACATACATACATATATGTATTGGGTGAGGGGGGGATTTGATTCGGACTTGAGAAATTGTGACTATTTTAGACAAATTGATAAATATTTTGTCAATACATGTAAATTATAACTTACCCTAATTTAATTATTGACCAAAAAAAAATTGGTATTGAAAGATTAGATTGAATAAGATCCCAATAATTAAAGTCTTAAATCAAGTTCTAAAAGAGAAAAGTTTATTGTCATTTGCATTATTTAGTAGCATTTTCACTACTAATGCACAACTATATATTTTTTGAATGCGCCTCCATTTAGCCTCAATTTCATGACCTCTCACATAGGAGAGGTTACTACATGCCATCTGAGCACAAAATGCATGGCATGCACAACTATATATAAAATTTGTCATTATTAATATACGATTTTAAATTCACTTTTAGCTTCTTCATTTTTAGTGAAAATTTTGGTGAAATTTCATTGTATTTTATCATATAACTAGCGAGTGACAAAGTTTATAAATGAAAATGTTGATTCATATGACATACTTTTTGTAAAAAAGAGTTATTTTCACATAAATTTTTGTCACATATATCTATAGTGATAATTTTTATAATCATGTACAACAATAACAATAATAATTTTAAAATTTGTGATAGGATCTCCAGGTACATGATTACTCTATAAAAATTATGTGAATATTGAAATTGTTGGTTATATAGATGCAAATTGGGATGGGATAACGTTGGGATAAGAGATTAACATCAGGATATTATGTTCTATTTGAAGGTAATCTAGTTTCTTGGAAAAACAATAAACAAGATGTGATTGCAAGATTAAGCGCAGAAGCAGAATACCAAGCAATAGCACTAGAAATTTGTGAACTAATTTGGGTTAAGCAACTGCTCACTAAATCGATTTCTGTAAGCTCGATCCTATGAAATTAGTATGTGATAATCAAACAGCTCTACATATTGCATATAATCATGTCTATCATGAAAGGACCAAATGCAATTGAGGTTGATTGCCACTTTATAAGAGAGAATGTTACATCCGAAGACATTGTTACCACATTTGTTTGATCAAATGATCATATTCTCACCAAATCTTTTCGTGGACCTAAGATTGAAATATATGTAACAAGTTGGGAGCTTTTGATTTATACGCTCTAACTTGAGATAGAGTGTTGAAAATATCTATCTTGAGCAGTGTAGGCTTATACCTTTACTTTATTATGCCCCTTCCTAATATCTGTTATCATTGTCGTGTAACATGATGTCTATCTTTCAACAAACAATAACAATAATAATAAATATAACCCTCAATAGTGAGATGACCTAAGTATTAACTCTTAAAGAAGTGATGGGAGTACGCGTGTTTTATCCTGGTACACACTATCCAGGATCACCCAAATGGAGAGAAACACGTCCCATCCTCATTCGTCAACGCGGATTTGAATACAATATCTATGCAGGGTTGTTACTTTAATCCAAAAAAATTCCCAGCAAAATTGAACATCATAATGGGTCAATGATTTGAGTGTGATGCACAAATAGCTGTGTCATTTGATCATGTGTATCCACAGCATTCCAGAAAAGAACAATCGACATCTTCTGCAACTTTCTCAGGCACTGAACTCTCAGGACTAAGCTAAACCAGCTCCTATTCTCTCTCTGGTATCTCTTTTAGATTCATGATCTGATTTATTTATGACTTGAATTTTCTCTACTTTAAAGTTTGCCGCAAGTCTTCTATGAAATTAATGAGCTTCAATATCATTCCAATTTTGATCTGACCGGCCTGCATAGTTAGGGTTGATGCTGAGAGCAAGACATTAACTGCTAGAAAAAACACATTTATGAATGTTCTGCTTTAAGAAACTTTTTATAAACCGCTTTAGACTGATGGATTTGGTGTACTTGAGCCCTGGTAGGTTTATAAACTCAAATCAAATCTGTTATTTTGGCTTAATTAATGATGAGCAGCTATGGAAAACAATTGATGAGTGATCTAATTCACATTGAATAAGGATCTAATAGTTGTACATTATTATTTGTCTAGGAAATTGCCAGATGGCTGACAGCAGTGTAGAGCCCTTGTTAGATACACTACCTCTAAGTATCCCTGGTGTTGATCTCAGGAGAAAAAGATTCCGGCGGTGTAAAAGTGCCCCGGAAGAATTATTAGTTCTTGAAGAAAGGAATGAAATAACACCTCCGAAGTTGATCCAACGATCTGGTTCGTTTTTGGATAAACTCCATCCCAGTTTTAAGAGTGTAATGCTTTACTTGCTTATCTACTTGGGTATAGCTACTTTGTGTTTTTACATAGTCAAGGACGAGATCAAGGGAGTGAAAACGGATGGAGTTCTTGACTCGGTTTACTTTGTTGTTGTGACCATGACGACGGTTGGGTATGGGGACCTTGTACCCAACAGTACTCCTGCTAAGCTTCTGGCTTGCGTTTTTGTGTTCTCGGGGATGGCTCTGGGTTGCCTGGTTCTAAGCAAAGCGGCCGACTACTTGGTGGAGAAGCAAGAGACGCTATTGATCAGAGCATTGCATATGCGCCAGAGAGTTGGTGCAACTGAGATTATGAATGAATTTGAGACGAACAGGGTGAGATACAAGTGCATTCTCACAACTGTCTTTCTCGTGGTGCTTGTAGTGGTTGGAACCGTGTTCCTAGCACGTGTTGAGAAGTTGGGTATGGTTGATGCGTTTTACTGTGTTTGCTCCACGATCACGACCCTGGGGTATGGAGACCGGAGCTTCACAACCAAGGGAGGGCGCGTTTTCGCTATATTCTGGATATTGCTTGGTACTATCTGTGTGGCTCAGTTCTTCCTTTGTATTGCTGAATATAACACTGAGAACAGGCAGAAGGAGTTGGTGAAGTGGGTTCTTTCTCGACGAATGACCAATGTGGATTTAGAGGAAGCTGATCTCGACGATGATGGCTCTGTTGGGTGAGTTCGATCTCTGTGTCTCTTAACTTACCACAAACACACACACACTCACACAAAGTTTCCAACTTGCTTAATTTGGTGATTCTAGGATGGCTGAATTTGTGATATATAAACTGAAGGAGATGGGGAAGATCACCCAAGCGGACATTTCACTTGTTCTGAAAGAGTTCGAAACTCTTGACGTTGATCAATCTGGAACATTAACATCCTCCGACTTGACGCTTGCCCAGTCATGATTGTTGCTTAATTTGGTGATTCTAAGGTTGGCTGAATTTGTGATACAAACCCACTCTTCCACTTTGGTAAATTTTTGTTCATATTCAATTATTATATAAACCTCACTGCATGATTTTGTATCTCTGGTGTTATGCTGTGTATATTGTACTGAAATCTGATGAACACTAACATCTGATCTGTTACCTGTTGCTTTTGCCGTTGTTTTAACGTCAATTCAACTGGCCGAAAGTGTACTATGGGCTCCACATGACGCTTCAAACGCTATCCATCCGTTTAAGAATTGGATTACAAAAATAACCATAAAATTTCAAATTCAGCTCACGTGAAAGTTGTAGGTGCCAATAATTCTAGATGTTTTATCACGTAGGCTTTTGGTCAAATTACCGTAATTTCTTTTTTTTTTTTTTTTTTTTTTTTAATTCTTGATCTCGTTTTTCTCAATATAAAAGATAGAGACAAAGACCGGTAAAACGTAAAAATATAATTGTTTATTATTTTTGTTCAAATTCTTCTTGCAAAATGTTAAATTTTCAACCCAAGATCTCACACTCCAATTTGATAGAGTATTTAGGAAGATGTAAATTACGGTGATTCAATGACTCAGTATACACTGCCAAATATCGATTTACACAAGGGATCTGTCCACTTTGAACATAATCCACACACTGTCGTCGTCGAGATTCGAACCTTAGACTGTTCTCCCTGATTTTGTACAAATTCGTTTAAATTAAACGAGTTGGAAGCAAACAAACACGAACACGATGAACAGTAAGGGGCGTTTGGTTCAAACATGAAATAAGAATCAAAATTAAAATCCAATTTTGAACGATTAAGGGTTTGTTCAATTTCATCCGGCGATGAATTGAGTAAGCAACCAGCCACTGAGAAATAGCATTAGTTTCAGATGCTCAAAATGGATCCGATTGCAATTATCGCTCAACTTGCTCCAATCGAACCATTTTTTAAAAAAAAAGAGATTAGAAACGCAGTCGTAATCTCGGTTGGTAGCTATGGAAAATTGCAGATAGAAACCTCTCCAAAGTGACAAAATATAGCATCAATATATCATTATCATTCTGTCTATAGAACTTGAAACCTGTCCATAGCTAACAGCACTAGAATCCAAAACTGGAAATCGAAAGACGAGAGAAATTGCAAATGTAGCTATGGAGAGAAAGAGATTACACACAGATCACTCCTTCCTTCCCTCTTCCTCTTCTTCGACCGGGACTAGCGATGGAGAGGGAAGCAGGTGTTCATGCTCGTGCTGGCCAGCCACGTAATCCAGGATTCCTTCGCCGGATTCTTCGGGAACGGGCGGGGTAATCCGGCTGAAAGCGGCGACGGTGGCCAGGAAGAGAGCGGTGGAGAGCAAAAGAGGCCAGAAGTACTTGACGATGTCGAGAAATTTGGGGGCGACATAGACGACGGAGAAGATGATCAGAGAGAAGGCGGCTACGAATAAGATGGGGAATTTGAACTTGACGATCTTTTCAGAGATTTCCATGGCGGACGGGAGCTGTATACGGCCTTTTTCTTTTTTTCCTAAAGTGAGAGACAGAGAGACAGAGAGAGTGAGAGAGCGGAGGGGTACTGACTCTTTTTGCAGAGATTCTCTGCGGTGAAAAGTTTTTTTTTTTTTAACTGTTTAGCATCCAACTTCGTAACTCGTTTTACTGGCGGTAACAACAAATTTATTTCCACAACTGCCCATATTCCTTGCAAATTTTGCATTAACGCATATTCATCGTGCGTTTAAACCATTTTTCCAGCATTACATTAACGCAATCATTGTGCGTTTAAACCATTTTTTTCCAGCATGACAAGACAACGGGCCCGGGGCCCTCTCCATATTAATTACTCCCCATTAGAGTTAACCCTTATTTTATCTTTGGTGACAATTTATATCGTGCACCACATGTGCGCCCAGGCACAAAACGCGCACGTTTCGTGCTGACGTCATTCCGTGCAATCGAACAAATCAAATCTCATTATGTGTATTCAATTAAAATTTTATGTGTATTCAGTTAAAAATTTATGTGTATTATGTTAACAAAATTCATTATGTGTATTCAGTTAAAAGTTTATGGTGTATTATGTTAAGAGTTTATGTGTATTATGTATTATGTTAGATTATGTGTATTTTGTTATGAGTTTATGTGCATTCGAAATAGAGAATTTTTTTTTAACAACTTAACAAAACGACGTCACGCACAGTGCTATGTGCGTCCTGGTGCACCGTGCAGGGTATAATGATTGTGATTTAAAGGTGTTAATTCACTTTTAGTTTTTTTTTTTTTTTTTTTTTTTTAATATTCATGTTTGATCATAATATTATTATGACATTACCATTTTTTATCATCTATCAAAAAATAAACATTTTAGTGCAATACAAATGATCATTGATAAATATATTTTTCAATTCATCCACTTAAACCTTCTTGATCGTTGCATATATGCACGTACCTTGGTATATCAAAAACTAAGATATTGATGGTGTCAAAAATTAAAAGTCACACTATGTTTAATGTTATTGATATAAAGGAAATAGATGGATAAAAATTATGATCTATTCTTTTCTTCTTTTTGGATGAACATGTCACATAAGTATAAAATTATATAAATGAAATAAAATCTAAAGTACACGTAGTATTACTCATTTTTCTATGACTCCTTTGAAAAAATGCTAGTATGATTAGAGTAAGAAAAATTGTGACAACGGAATTAGTTATTATGATATTGAGATTGAAATAAGACAAGCTCAAAGTCGCTTCGACCTTGAAGGTTTTTGCTATGGGACCTTGACTTAAACGAGGCCATTCAGCATATTTTGCTTGGGGTCCAATATTAGCAGTTGTAGATCCTTACCAAGCTTTAAAGATTTGAAGTGTTTACAAGGCATTGAATTAATGTTGAAGCATATGAATGAGAATTATAACTCAACTTGTGGTATTTACCCAAATTTGCCTGGCATATATATATGGGAATTTTGTGTGATAAAGGATGGTGGATTAGGAGAAGTATTTAAACTTGTACTTGTTATGGGTTTAATTTGGATGCGAGATCATATATGCTACTTGCATCAAAATTTTTAATTTACACAAAAATTTACAATCATTATTCAAAGATGTACTTTAGGTAAAGTTCATATTATAATCCTAACCGACAAAGGGGTCGCTCTCACATGGAGGCCACTACTCGCATCAAATCCAATAAAGATTTAAAATTGATCAACGCATTGTGTGTTGATCAATTTCCAATTAACTTACTTAGAAAAAATAAAAATAAAATATCTTATAAATAATAATAAATTATGAAAACTTGTACTAAACCACAACAAAAGCCAACTTATTAGCTAAAATAAATAAATAATATCAAGAAACACCTTAAAATTTGAAAAGAAAAAAAAAGGTACAAATATATGTTGAAGATAGTGAAAATTAGATACAAAAATTCCATTATCACGATATAATTTCTGAATCGACAACAATATAATACTCCGTAGTGAACATGAAAAGAACAATCCTTAATCAAAGGGAAAGAGTTGCAAATTTGTTTCGTTTCTGATGCATTGCTACGAAGGACAAAAATCCTTGCGTAATGCAGCAGCGAAAAAGGATAGGCAAGGGCAGAAGGGTAATTTGATGTAAGTGTAATTTATTCCCGGCATAATGACCACATTATCTTCTTATCGCATCACAGAATTGTCGGCTACTTTTTTACGTTTAAACTAACGTCTTGTACCACTTTTTAGTTTTTACACCTATCAATCTTGTTTCTTTCTGCACTCACTCAGTCGGTCAGTCCGTTACATCTTAACTCCACCGCATTCTTGCTAATACTAGTTTTTTGAAAAAGAAAACTTAAGTGGAGGAGAAAAAACTCTCCTTGCAAGAACTTTAGTTTAGAGCATCATTATCAGTTGGAGATATTATGGAATTGTTGTAAAAGTGATTAGAAAAGAGAATGTGGGAGGGGAGAAAACAAAAACAAAAACAAAACTGAATTTTTATTTTTATTAAAAAAAAAAAAAAGTAAACAGTGAAGTTAGGCGCGCCTGACGCGCCACCGGGCCCGAAACGCGCACAGTGTTTCTTCTTTTTTTTTTTTTTAAAAAAAAAAAAAATCTGACATTATCTTGTATCTTGCAGGAAAAATAATTATTGAAATAACCTCACCCCACATCTATAAATAACCCCACCAAAGTTATTTCATCTGACATTAACCCCATATTCTTCTCTACTATAGATGTTCTTATATCAGATTATGGGACCTACCAAAATTTAGGCCTTTCGAGCAATATTCGCATGCCGCACAATACAACGCCCAGCCTAGTATTGATGTTCTTCATCAAATTATGGGACCCACCAAAATTTTAGGCTTTTCGAACAATACTCGCATGCCGCACAACACAACGCCCAGCCTAACGCGTCTTGACAGCGTTGCCTTTTAAAAAAATAAAAATAACATCAACCTTTTTTTTTTTCTTTTCCTCCCCTATCTCTTAATTGGCACCTCAAAAACCATACCAAAACTTCATTATTGAGGTTGCTAGTCACACTCTAATGATTAAATGAATGTTTAATTTTTATTTATTTTTTTTATTGCAAGGTTTTCAATTTGAATTCTGGTAGGGCATATGGCTATAGCCATTACCCCAACATTCACTGTTCTCTGTTGACTTTCACATCTAACAACAAACATTCCGCTTTGCCCATTCATCAATACAATACGTTTATTTCAATGTTTCTCAAATAGTATTTACAAAAATTAGCCATTCCCTTTGCAATTAGTCCTCAAAATAGTATTCAATACGTTAGTTTGAGTCCTTGAGTGGTAAGGAAATAATAGACTCTGTTCTTAAATTATTGCCGTAATCACTCTTAATCATTGAGTTTTTCTTTTATCTCAATCATCAAGCAAAGATTGTACAACGATCATATTTTAACCACCCTAAAATGAGGCCTACTTTCCTATCATTGCCTACTTTAATAGAGAAACATGATCCCAACTCAAGGACCAAAATGCCACTTTGAAAAAAATATAACAACATCAATAACTTAGGATTGAGCCACCTATTTCCTTATGACTTAAATATTTAATCACTTTTTTTTTAAGTACTAAATCACTAAAACTACCATTTTCCCTTTCAGTGCATCCTCAATATTAATAGTTTTTAAGAAA